ACTATAGCAATGAATTTTTCTCTTCTGTGACTCTGAAGCTAGTAGCCAAATGACACAAAAACAAATACAAGTTGGTTAGGATTCAAATAACAAGATTATTTAACTTTGGGAATAAAAAGTAAAGTTCACAAGCTCTCTTTTTTGGTAGTTGCCACATTCCAATTTGGCTTTGTGATAGATGGCATAATTAGCCCCAATCCTTCACCTTTCCTTGCATCTCTATTTGCTGTTTAATTTGGTACTGTGGTTGAGCTGTTTTGGTGAACCATACTTAATGGGGATACTTTCTCTCCTGTGCCTCTGCCTTTACTGTAAGGTCAAGCCCAGGAGAGCTGGCTGTAGGATTATAAACATACAGAACATAATCTTAATTATGGTTAAGGCTCTAGATCAGCAGCCAGCCAGCATATGAGCAAACTTAGCCAAAGTCAGCAAAGCCACATAGCTATAATCCTTCTGACCAGCAAAGCGTGATCAATAAATACTAACTGGCTGCTAGTTACACAGTATTCTGTGGCAGCAGATAACTAATATAGACATTAACAGTTTTTAACTGAAAACTCTGAATTTTTTGCTTTCTCATGGAAGTATTTTATGATGAGAATCACCATTGTGTAGCACTGCTCTCTGTCATCAATAGAGCCTACTGACTTTTAGACAAGCCTGACAATACATCTACCACTGACCTGGAATAGCCTCCGGAAAATCAAGCTACTTTGTGTCTAGGACGCAAGTCATAAAGCTATCTTAAAGGGAGGGAACTAAAATAAGTCTAATGTAAAACAGAGTATGAAAGAGGGCTAGCTAAAGGATCAAGAGGGTAGTTAACCCAAAGGGTCCAGCATGTTTGTATTACAGCTAAGTGCATATTTATATTTTATTAATACTTATATTTTATTTATAAATAATGTAAAAACTATTATAACAAAAACTATTATTTATATAATTTATTTTTATAACATAAAAATATAATATAAAAACTATTCCAAGATTTTCGTATTGCCTTTGATCTTTTATTTATTTGAATGTGAACAACATAAGTCATTACCATATTACTTGAAGAGGTATTCATGTAGATGACATTAAAATATCCACTAAATAATTCTTTTAAAACTACAAACATCGAACTCATATGTCTCTACATGAGTATTTAAATAACACACATGCAAGTTTTCTTCCATTAAGGGAATGCCAAGTCTCCAAGTTACATATGAAATTAAACAAAGAATAAGTATATATTTACAAGGCCTTAAAACAAAACCCTAGTGTCTACAACTACTGACTTGTATTGAAATGGAAATCTTCTGTAAAAAGTCACTCCTATTATTGTTTCAGTCTGCAACCTAATTATGTATCAATTTTACTTTCTCATAGTTCATAACATTTGATATTTACACTGATTCTAGATTCCTTAAAATCACAAGGTAATAGTTACTGCTGAAAAATATGTAATAATTCACTTTTTAAAGGAATACTTATTATTTACCTACAATTTTGTTATCAAAAAAGCTTACATTCCCATAAATTATAAAGGTGAACCAACAGTTCCCTTATATAGTGAAATTTTAATTTCTTTTTAATACACTGAGGACAAGGAAAAACATAAATTTGAACTTTCCATTATAAAGTCTAGTGTTATTTTCTTCTGTAAGGCACATTTCAGACTATAGAAACAAATAAGCAATACATTGCTATTAAATAACTTGTTCAGTTCAATAATAAAACACTATGGTTTATATGTCTATAACTATGTGTTCTGAACACAAAATTCTACTTAGTACATTGATTATAACTTCCCAATTGCTGTCAAGGCAAATGAATAAGAATTTTTAAATGGAGAGAGTCCAAAAACCAGTGCTCTTAATTTTTACAAAAATTCACCTAGAAAGCTGACATTCATGACACGTTCTAAAAAATACATGTATATCCTATTGCTTAGAATTTACACATGAGAATTCAGTGTTAAACCCTTCTTATCTAAAAATTAAACCACTAAATTATCATCTAACTATATATTAAGAGCACAGAAGTTAATAAACTATGATATATATAATATATATTATGCATGTATTGAAATAGTAGTTACAGATCTCTGTTATTTTGTAAAGTGAATAAGCAAATCACAAAATATGTAGATAATATATGTTAATGGATTTGCACAATCCATGACTGACTTATCGTGAATATAGTGTTTAATAATAAATCTATCTCTGCAGCTAGGAGGCTGAGGCAGGAGGATTGTTGAGTTCAAAGCCAGCTTTAGTAAAAGTGAGGTGCTAAGCAACTCAGTAAGATCTTGTGTCTAAATAAAATACAAAATAGGGCTCGGAATGTGGCTCAGTGGTTAAAGTGCCCCTAAGTTCAATCCCTGGTACCCAGGGGGTGGGGGATGAGTCTATCCTACCCTCTGATACCACTTCAGATTCACCACAGAAGGAAGGAAGGAAGGAAGGAAGGAAGGAAGGAAGGAGGGAGGGAGGGAGGGAGGGAGGGATAAAGAAGGGAGGGAGGAAAGGATTTTAAGATTTCTTCTTACAGAAATTTATGTTTGTATGACACTGGTCTTTGATGATTAATAACAGAAAAGGTTTTGGGAAAAATATATATGTAATGATAAAAATAATTTCTGATCTGTTATTATAAGAATATAAATGTACTTTACAGGTGATCTATAGATTTATAGTATACTCTACTATACCCACAATGTTAAAAGCAGTTTGAAAATCCTCTCATGAGCCTTTCTCCTGATATTAAAGCTATAATTAAGTATTTTAAAGTATTTGGCAGCAGGAAACTTCTAATTTTTAGGAAAATAAATTTTGGAACCTGGATATCTGGGCATTCTAAATTTCAGGTGTTACAATGCAAAGCTAACTAAAACACACACAGTTTTGTATCATACTTTTCCCACTTAATGTTATATAGTATTTCTCCATGTCACTGATATCCTTAAAACTCTAAAAATTAATTAATTAATTAAATTTCAGCTTGTATTTTCAAGTCACCCTCTTCGAAAGCAAACCTATCTTTAAATTTCTAGATTTCCTTTATCTTAGCATCTAAACGTCCCATTAATAATCTGATTTCTGTCACTTTTCAACCTGGTATATTTGAGACTTTAATTTTTCAACTGTAAAAGGAATCCCCTATTTAAAGATTTAGCTTTCATTCCAAATCTTGAGTCAACATTTCCATTTATATACAAGTTGTTATTCTACTTAAAAATCTGTTTTCTTTCTTTCTTCAACCAAATACTTAGTATTTGATTATTTCCTCTAACTGTTTTTAGTGAAATTATTCTAAAAGAATAAGAATAATGAAGGCTGGGATGTAACTCAGTGGAAGAATGCTTGCCTAGCATGGGGAAGGCTCTGCGCCCTGGATTCAATTCCCAGTACCACCAAAAAAATATTTAAGAGTAAGAATATGGAAAGATCAAAGAACAAAACATGTCAAATTTTAAAACACAGAGGAGTAGCAGGAATGGTGTTATTAACAGCCAAGAACTAAACAACACAAAATGTAATTGAAATTATACCAGCTATGATGGTACACATATATAATTCCAGCCACTTGATCCTTTCTTTTTTGCAGTGCTGGGCCTCAATACAGGGCCTCATGCATGATCGGCAAGTGTTCTACTACTGAGCCATATTCCTAGCTCAATCCCAGCCACCCAGCTCCATCCCAGCCACTTGAGACTGAAACAGGAGGATCTCAAGTTTGAGGCCGGCCTCAGCAACTTGGTGAAGGCATAGCAACTTAGCAAGACCCTCTCTCAAAATAAAAAATATTTTTTTTTAAAAAAGGGCTAAGGATGTAGGTCAGAAGCAAGCCACCCCTAGGTTCAATCCCCAGTACCTAAATAAATAAATAAAGCACATATATTTTTTTTTGTAATCTTATTCAATAAAGACTTTCCTTATATAATAAAATGAAAGGTGAAAAGTAAAATTGGGGGGGGGTAAGAATTCTATTAAAAAAATGAAAAACTTAATGATTTTTCATCAACCTTCATCACTGTAGATTAAATATGCCTAAGCAACCTAGAGCCACAGACTATTTAAGCAAAAATATCAATTCAAGTGTGTTAGTTGATGTGTTTTGATTTTTTTTTCTTCTTTTCTTCTTGGTACTGAGGACTGAACTCAGGAGTATTCTACCACTGAGATACAACACGTTCCTTTTTAATTTTATTGTAAGGCAAGTTCTAAATTCCTGAGGCTGGCTTTAATTTTGTAATCCTTTGCCTCAGCCTCCTGAGTTGTTGGGATTATAGGCATGCGTCACTGTTCTCAGATTATTTTGATTGTTTTCAAAGTCTTTTGCAATAATTCTACCAAATATATTGCCATTATTACCGCCTAACCTCTATCCCACCCCTGCCACCACCAAAATGCAAGATATTTCCTATACATATGCTGATTCTTTCCTCTAGTGAAACCATCTCATAAGGGCGTTTTTCCCTGACATTTTCAGTAACCAGATTAAATTTTTCTAGATATAATACTGAATTTTATTTATAACAAAAAACATATTTTTTAAAGCAATGAATATTATTATAAGGCATCTATAAACAAAGTTTGAGAGAAAAATTAGTCATCTAATTGCTTACAAAGAACTTCCATTTCTCTTTATGGCTGGTTTTTAATAAACAAAGTTTTAAAAAAAATGCCTCTAAATTATTTGTCAAGACAACAAGAAGAATTTAATAGAAAACAGTACTGTGTTATAGCAAACAAAATTTGGCCTTCCGTTGGAACTACAAGTAGGAAGGCTCTAAGTACAGTTACCACCAAGGATCATTTTGTGCAAATTATTTCAGTCAACTTGTCAACAAGCTATCTTAAAAATTATTACAGAACCAAATTAAACAACTCAGATATTGGCAAAAATAGATTACTTCATTTTTTACAATGTTAGTTATGTTTAGTCAAGTATTATGTAATTAGTACTTTTAAACAAAATCATTAAAGCTTACAGAAAAGGGAACTACTTACAAGCTGCTCTGATTTTACACCATATAACTGAATGGTCTTTGCCACATTTTTTGCCACAGCTAATGTGAGGTTTGCATCAACAGCAGCAACATTTAGTTCACTGCAGAAAACAAAAGCAATTTTTAATATTAGCAAAATATGTTCATCAACAAAGTAAAGCACAACATATAAGCCTAATAAGCCCAATAAGTAATGCAGTGTTTCTTTTTATACATTTTGCTGATTGTTTCCAAGAAGTGGTACATTGTTTTATTCCCCCACCTCGCATAAATTCAGCATTAGGAAAAAGTGCTTTGAGATATAGCTTTGTTAATGACCAGTTTCCCATTAATAAAAGCACATCATGTGTGGGTTCAGTCTGTGATTAACAGAGTGAATTGCGTACAGATTTTTAAAGCAGCACTCTTGCAAATACTGATAAGTGCAATTAGAGGCACTGCATATCACAGACATCTGCAAGGAAATGACAGCTTTTGAATAGGAATGATGACCTTGGAAGGACATAGTCTAAAAATATAAATTACACATGATACATAAAGATATTCAGTTTTTGTAGAAATTATGTCCATGCATGCTATTTTGTAAAGACCAGCTTTTAAAACATATCAAAAGCATAATGGCTATAATTAGAAATTTTATAAACTTGGATTCTTTTAAGTATTTCCTTGTTGTGTTTATTTTCATCTTTAACAATTAATTAATTTGACATCTAACATGACTAACCAAAAATAGTGAAATTTTTACAAAGACCATGAAAAGAATACTAAAAGTTAAAAACTGCATGAAAACCCATATACAAGCAAGCTAGAAAAGCAATTATCTCTGAAGTAGACCCAATGTTGATACTTCCCAGATTATCTTCTTAAAGAAACAGAAGGAGTTTGGAACAATATTAGTGCATATTATGTGTGACAAAAAGTGCTCTCTCATATAGTACTGAGACATAATTTTATTAATGTTCACTTTAAAATTGTATTAAACACTGGCATCAGTATGCTTCTTCAAGGTCCTGATTATTTTTTTATTATACCACCACTGTCAAGATGTAACTGGCATAGGAGAGATGCTGCTTTAATGTTTACATAAATAGGTTTATGAGCTCAAGTTGAATCTAGGACTGTGTTTTTATCACCTGCACCCTAAACAGGTAACAGACCTTAGGATAAAAAAAATACAGAGTCAAATCTCCAGCAAGTTAAGATAACAGCAAAGAGGTTTAGGACCAAGATGCTAGGCAATCTAGACTCTTATAGGTGTGTTTGTAGCTGATGATACGTGTATAATACCTGTGGCTTTTTAGTTTTACTCTCCCATTCCTCAGAATCACCATCTTCAAATTTATAGTCTAAAATAACTGAGACAGTTCTACACTTGGGTCCAATAATATCCAGCCACTAGTTTTCCTTCTTAAAATGTCCATTTTAAATGTACAGGCTTATTCTCAAAACAACCTGTAAGCAGTGACAGGAACTGATAGTTTCAACTGCAAACTAATCTGGATCACTTTAAAATGCACACATCTAAAGGCTAAGGGATAATTACACTGCCTGCCAGCATTTAGGTGGCACCTCACTTAGGATACCTTCCCTTTTTAGAGTTGTAAAAGCTGTCACATTCACTTAGAAAGCTTAAAATAGCAAACACAAGTAGGCTAATGAGGATTAGAACCCTGTTTTTGCGATGAAGCACTTTCTGGGTTTAGGATAAAAAACACTAACTGTTATGTTTTAGTTTCTCAATTTGTAAAATTATTTTTATTCTTACTTTGCTACGAGATATTAGGAATTTACTATGATAGGAAAAGCTAGGTCTACTTTCCAACTTTGGCAAGATACAGATTATAATAGACTATTTTTAGAATAAATTTCATTAATTGGAATCTCTACTTACTATGTGTACACTCATTCACTGCAGGACTTCTTAATTATAGACCTAATTACTTGAATAATTTGAGGTAAATTCAAATGCACTGCCATGTTACATCAATAACAAATGTGGCAGGCATCTTAAGGCAGGACATTATAAAAAAAATACATACCTTGCTATAGTTTTAATGATACCATCAAGTTCATCAGAGGAAGGTGGATTACGCCCACTCGGAGGAAAAACCAAGTTGATAGGATCAAAGAGTCGAGATAAGGATTTTGAGAGATAAGCAGCCTCATAGGGCTGTAGTGAGTCTTTCAAAGCCTTTTCTGGACTGTGGAAAATGAAATTTTTAAAAAATTAGTTTAAATTATGCAATACTAAATGCTAGTGTTATCAGGCAATAAATACCTTTTAAATATATCTACTATAAGAGTAGCTATATTAGCAAAAAGAAAGAAAATTTTTTTTAATATATATATAAATAGCCAGGTATGGTGGCCCATGCCAGTGGCTGAGGAGGCTGAGGCTAGAGGACCCCAAAATCAAAGACAGCGTCAGCAACTTAGTGAGGCTCTAAGCAACTTAGAGAGACCCTGTTTCAGAATAAAAAATTAAATAAAAAGGGTTGAGGATGTGGCTTAGTGGTTAAGTACCTCTGGGTTCAATCCTTGGTACTAATAAATAAACAAACAAATAAATACATAATTGTATAAATATATTTTGTGATTAAATGTTTACTAAGGATCACATAAGTATTTTAATTTATGCATTAGACCCAGCTATAAATGTAATATAATATGTAGCAGTACCTACTATTATCTATCACTTGAAACTAAGATAATAATATTTAAGAATCTATTAATTCTAATGAAGAATATGCCTTTACTTACCAAGCCCTATTTATAGAGTATCAAGCATACACAAGAGACGCAAACCTCCAGAGACCTGCTCATTAGCTCAACCCTTTTCACTCACAGCTGTCATCATCTTCCATAAAGTTCACTGAGAGGAAAGGGTACATATCTAGACTATTATCAGTTTTCCCTTCTTGTGTTACTAAAAAGAACAAAGACAAACTGCAAAGTATTTGTGAAAGTCCTATGATTACACAAATAACCTCAATTGAAGTTCTAAGCTAATTTATTTTACAATATTCTTCACAAACTAAAATTAATCTACTACACACATTTCTTTCCTCCTTACATTTCCAGTCTCCAACAATTTCTACATTCTCATTTAGCAGCCAAATGACTGGATGTTAGCTTTCCTTTGACAATATCCAAGTCTATTATATTTTCATTGAAAACTGAAGATACTTTCAAATCTCCTATTTGTGATCCTTCTAACAGCTCTTCAAAAAAATTTTTTTAAAGAGCAAATTCCTCTTTATCTTAAATGTTAACAGTGACAATATCTGACCTGTTCTTCATGTATATGAAACCTGGCTTTCTCTCTTTCTCACCCTCTGGTCCACTGACAGGCCTAGAGGTCAGAATGCTCTTGGCTCCTGCATCATAATTCCATCATTATCTCTTAATACGTTCTCATTCAATAAGTATTTCACTCAACACATATTTACTGAGAATACGATGCACCAGGCACTTTGACAAGTGCTGGGAAGAACTATATGAAAGAATGTTTTATAGCCAAGTGGAAAAATGGACAGGTGAAGTGCAAATTTTATAATCTCTCTAACAGATAAAGATGCAAAGATCCCTTGGAAGCAGGGTTGAGCTAGTATCTAAATCTGTTCAAGGCACTCCTCTTACTGAATTATATGTCATCTATTTAAATGTCTTCTCCTATTATCTATTGTCCTTAAGAAGCCTCTTTCCAATTCTGCAGAAATTCTGACCCCTGAATATGTGTTAACACTCTTTTCTCCAAATCTGCTGCAGAATCCCTGTTGACTACAATGTCAATATAGGTAACTTTCCTAAAATCTGTTCTGTATTTGAAAGAATTACCTGTTTTGTATGTGAAAGTTTACATTTATAATGATCTTTATTTTAGCTTTACTAAAGAACTTCCAAATTTTGAACTGTTCTATTTTTAAGGTGTCCCAGTCTGAGGGCAACTTTTCATATAGCCCACCTTTTCTCTCTTCTTCCCACAAATATTATTGTCTCTACTTAATAATATTTAGCTTTATTTAATAGGTGCAGGAAATATAGCAGTGAGCACAGTTTCTATTAAGTATGAATACCTCTACACAAGAAAGAAACACAAAAACAAATACATTTAATGAATTCAATATGGAATATGATAGTGATAAGTGCTACAGGAAAAATAAAGCAAGGAAGACAGAGAATAGATTTGTCTTCTCCCCCCACCCCCCATTCAATTTTCGATAGGATGTGGCAAGGAAAAGTTTACTGCAAAGACCTAAAGGAAAAGAGGTAGCAAGTTACTCAGATTTTTCCGGGGAAGAGCTTTCTATGAGAGAACAGCAAGTGCAAAGTCCTGACAAAGGTCAATCCATACCTGGCTATGTCTGCCAAACAGAGGAGCAGAACAAGTAGATGACAAGTGAATAGTACAAAATGACATCAAAGAGAAAAAAAGTAGATGACTCAAAAAGAGAAGAGTCAGGCTTAGCATTCCCATAAGGGTAGATTTTACTCTAAAGAACACATTCTTTGACCTTATTGTGATTGGAGATATGTGACTTTTTCCTACCAGATTTTTCATCAGCCTAATAGGTCTTATGAATTTTACCATCCACTCAAAGATGCTCTCAATTGGCATCCTGATTTTTCCAATTCACCTTCATTTCAAAGCTCTTAGTAAAATAGTCTCTGAATCTGCCCTTAAGCTATGCAAATATCAAAAAAAAAAAAAGTAAGTTGCTCCTATTAAGCATTCTTGAAAACCCCTTAATATCAAGAGACATTTTTACACTGATGTTTGTAGATCTTTTTCATTAATCCAACTTGGAGTTTGCTGAGCTTTCTGAACACTGTAGATTATTGCTTCTCATTAAATTTTGGAAGATTTCAGTCATTATTTATTTGAATATTTTTCTTTCTCCTTTCTCTCTCCTCTCCTGTGGTAATCTCATTACACATAGATCGAAATAGATATCCCACTTTTTTGAGGCTCTGTTTATTATTATTTTTCATTCTTTTTCTGTTTTTGTGGTTTGCATAATATCTATTGATCTAGCTTTGAGTTAGCTAATTCTTTTTCCTGCCTGTTCAAATCCATTGTTGACCTCCTCTGGTCAGTTTCTTATTTCAGTTATTGTGCTTTTCAATGCCATAATTTCCATTAATTTTTTTAAAAATAATTTCTCCTTATTGGCAGCCTCTATGTGATACAACGTTGTCCTCATATATTCCTCACTTTTAAATCATGCTTTCCTTGAGTTCTGAACACTTTTATAATAGCTACTTCAAAATCTTTTTCTGTTAAATGTAACATCCAGTTGCTCTCACAGGCAGTGTCCTTGAGTTTTGTTTTTTGTTTTATTTTTCATATGCAGGTCAATTTTCATGTTTCTTTATGATCCATAATCTTTTATTGGAAACTGGACAATTCAGATAATATATTATAGCAACTCTGGGTACTGATCTCCTGGTTTGGGGCTTGTTATTGCTATTGTTTATTTATTTAGTGACTTGCTGGATTATTTTAATTCTCTTTCCCATAGTGTTAAGCCTGTGATACTTTTTCTCAGTGAGATATAGGTTTGGGTATGAGAAGTCACCCTGGGACTTCACCTTGCTTTTCCTGAACACACCTTCATGTTTAACTCTACTAATTGATTGTCTTAAGTTTTCAACAATGCAGTAGGCATAAACTCCTCTACAAATGAATACAATTTAACTGTAGCTATTTTGACAGAACAGTTTCTAAGGTCATAGTTGATATTCATTCTAATTCCAGGAGGACTCCTAGTTGTCCTGTTCCCTGGCACTCTCCTGAAGACTAGCTAATCTATAATTTAGTCTGTATCTTCACTAGATCTACAAATCACCTCCCCATTGCCTTTTACAACTGCCCAGGTTTTAGAGAGTGCTCTTAGGCTTATACTTTACCAGGCTGTTATAAATATAGACAGTTACTTTGGGAAAAGATCAGGAGCTGTTTTACTGCCTGCTTCTCCCCCAGGCAAAATCTCTATGCCAAGCTCTGAAGGTGACCAGACAGAAAGAGGAAGCTAAATTTTGAGTGAAACCTCCTCAATCCAGGAACTGAACACTTGATGGAAGGGGGGCGGGGGAAGCGGTGGTGGCTCTTACTGTGCATTTACTGGCAGGAAATCACAACTTCAAAGGCCCAGGCATAGGCTAGTGGGGCCCCTGTATTTTCAGCTCACTATGTGTGCAGGGAGCCATTCCTTGAATGGGGACTGGGCAAAACAAGGGACTTCTACTTTTTAACCATACTCAGCTTGGAGTAAGCCTATGTGACAGGCAGTTAAGGGCATGAGAATAAACACTGAGGTCCTGCTCCTCCTAGGAAGAAAGCCTGCAGCTGGCAGCTGGGAAGAGAGGGAGCCCGAAGTTCTTGGTGGCTGCAGTCTAGAGTAGTCTTTATCTCACTGAATTGGAAAGGGAAATGAGGGAACAGTCTTTGGTTCAAATATTATGGACTGTAGCCTTTCTTAACAAATTAAATTTTTAAGACTTTTGCTTAATAGATGCTATTTGCTATTGTGGTTAGGTTCCTTTCTTATACTTTTCACCAGCTTTAAAGAGGGCTAGTTCAGCAGAGCCCTTTGTGTTTCATTCTAGAAGTCCATCTTCCTTTCTCTTATAATCAATTCTAATAATGCTTTTTAAATTATTAATAATAACACTATTTCACATTTAGGTTTCCAAAGGCCTTAATCTTGCTATAGCAATGGTCTGAGTCCTTAAATTCTTCAGCTTCTCAGTAGCATCACACAGGTGACTACCCCACCTCCTCTGGGGTTATAAACTACTTTGATATGTCCTTCTATCTCATCTTTTTAATTTTTTTCTCAGTCTCCTTTGTAGGAGCCATTGCATTGCCCAATCTATAAATGCTGGAGTGCCTTTATGAGGCAAGGATTCTTTTTGCTCTTTATATATATCTTCCCTATGTAATCTTTTCCAGTTATGTTAAAAAAGATCCTTATGATTATAACTCCCCAATATAACCACATGCTGCATGAAGACATTTTGCTTAATAGTGTACCACATATATGACAGTGGTCACATATAATTATAATGAAGCTGAAAAATTCCTATTACCCAGTGACACCATAGCTATCATATTGTCACAGTGGAATGTATTATTCATGTGTCTGTAGTGATTCTGGTATAAACAAAACTACTGTACTACTGGTCCTATAAAAGCTCAGCACATACAATTATGTACAGTGTATAACTAATAATAATAAATGACGACATTACTGGTTATGTATTTATTATATTTCTCATATATATATTGTATGTATATTTTAGCATATACTTCTTCTACTTAAAAAAAGAAAACAAAGTTTACTATAAAACAGTATCCTATGTTATATCACCAGCAGCCACACACATGTTGGGTTTATGTTGTTTCTTGACTATCAAAAGGCCATGTGGTGTGATTTACTCATGCCATCTAGGTTTGTGTAAGTACACTCTATGAGGTCCTCATAGTAATGAAATCACCTAATAATTATGTTCTCAGAACTTGCCTCATCATTAAGCAATGCATGACAGTACATATTTCTAGCCCTAACTCATACTTAATTATTTTCAATAACTCTATTTGCATTTTCAGTTCAGCAATTGCAAACAAAACCTAAATTCAACACAACCAGTTTTCCAATCCTAGTCTTCTACCAACTTATCTAGTCATATCTTCAATTCCTCCTTTCCTCTCAAATCTAACCTATCAGGAAATTCTATTGGTTTGTCCTCTAAACTATATCTTGATTTAAAACCCATCTTGGACCAATCTGATCAATTCTTACCATCTTATCTGCTCATCCTATTTAAAGTCACTTAAAGTCATTGTCATCTTTTCTCTGGAAAAACAAAATAGTTTCAATGGGAAACATTATTCCTCCTGTGTGTTAACCACCCCCTTATTTGTCCACAAAAAAGCCAATATGCTAATTTTAAACCAATTATCAGTTTATATCATTCCTCTGTTTAAAATCAGTGATTTGTAACTTTTTGGAATAAAACCCAACCTCATTAGCATGGCCTATAAAGCCCCACATGATCTCCTATTTCCCTTCTACTCTGGCCTAGTATTACACCCCTCTCTTCTTCATTCACTGTGCTTCAGCTGTATTGGCTGCTTTCTCTTCCTTAAACCTCTCCATTTTAGTGTATTTGAGACCTCTAAGTTTGATCTGCTTGCAAAAATCTTACTCCAAGTCTCTCATGATTCACTTATTCAGATTATCTAGATCTCAGGTCAAACATTAACTCCTCATAATAATGCAATCTGATATAATTAAGATATATTAAAATATCAATTAATAAACAATGGGGGGGGGGCTGGGGCTCAGTAGCAGAGGGCTTGCCTAGCACATGTGAGGCACTGGGTTCAATCCTTAGCACGGCATACAAAAATAAGCAAATAAAATAAAGGCATGCTGTCCATCTACAACTACAAAAAAACAAACAAACAAAAAACAATGACTACATATGTTCACTTATAATTTCCAATAATCCTATTTATTATTGTATTTTAAAACTGAAAGGTCACCTAAGGGTGAAGTTTGATTTCTTCAGATAAAAGTCTTAAGTTAAAGTACATTAATAAATAACAATCATTATAAATATTTAGCAGCTTAGTGTATGCACGATTTTTGATTAATAATAAAAATAAGAAACAGAAATCCTTTACATGCCAACAAACAGATCAAATTAAAGAAACATACTCATATTCTGACTTTTTTGGTATGAATATATCCTGTGTATCATCTTCCATATGTTGTAGGTCAACATAAAGGTCTGGAGTTCCACTTGCATTAAAATTTCCTTGGATGTTTGGACTGTATTGTTGAAGACGCTTCCACAAGTCATTATAAAGACATAATAATTTGGGATATTCTCCTTCGAAGGCTTGTTTCAAAAACATGGAAGCTGCCAAGAAAAACAATAGCATGGGTTAGATAAATGATAAAACAATAAAATATAGTAAATGAATATTTCTTTTTAATATGAAGCTGATGTTATAAATAGCACAATATCACCAAATGATCAAAGACATGTTTTAATTATACTTCATAAAATAATGCTAGTAACAGTAACTTTCCTCTCAGATGATGCATTAAATTTGTTGTATGGAACATATATGCTGAATCGTAATCTATACTAAAAATAGACAAACTCAAATTATAGTTGAAGGTTTCAATTTCTTCTCTTGATAATTGATAAAACAAGTACATAAAAAATCAGGATACAGAAAATTGGACAAAACTAAAACCCAATTGACTGACTATGCATTTATACAATACTTCATCCAAAACATCAAAAACATATTTTCTTATATATATATATATATGTGAAATATATGCTGAGATTGACAATACTTGGGCTTTAAAACAAAGTATATCTTGTATATCTTCTTTAAACAAAATAGTGTTAGATTAGAAATGAATAACAAAAACATACCCCCAAATTCTCACATATTTGAGACATAAGACATAGGAAGGAGGAAAGGAAGGTGGGAGGGAGAGAGATAAATAACTTAGAATTTATTTTGAACTGAATTAAAATTATAATAAAACAGCAAAATCTGTAGGCTATCAGTTGTAAGGAATACTTGGGGGATAATTTATATAGGTATTTACATTTGAAAAGAAGAAATGTCTCAAATCAATAACTTATGCTTCCATTTTAAGAACATTTTAGAAAAAGGGGGGGGCAAAAAAACCCAAAGAAAAACAGAAGAAAGAAAATAAATATCTGCATATTTGCATAGACTTCAATAAAAGAGAAAAACACTGAAACCCAAAACTGGATCTGAAGAAGATAAGTAACATTGGCAAACTTCTAGCCTTATGGATTAAGAAGAGAGGAAAAAAGTAAACCATATGAGCCATAAGAGAGGTGACCTCATTACATATTCTGCAGATAATAAGAGGATATTAAGGAAATTTTGAAGAACTATGGCAGTAAATTAGAAAACTTTCATGAAATGTTTCCTTGAAAGACACAAACTACTAAAACTTCCTCAATAATAAGATACAGAGCATTTGTATCTAGAATATATAAATATCTCTCATATCTCAGTAATAAGACAATCTAATTTTTTAAATGGGACTTTCATTGAAGAAAGTATATGACTGGCAAATAAGAGCATGAAAAAAAAAACTCAATATCTTTCACCAAAATGAAAATGCGAATTAAAACTAAAATGGGATAGAACTTCGTAACTGTTCAAATGGCTAAAATTAAAAAGACCAAAGAAAAATCCAATGACAATATCAGAGAATACACTTTTGGTGGAAAGGACAAACTGTATAATCATTTTGCAACAGTTTGGTATTTCCTTCAAATGTTAAATATATAACTACCATATAGTTACACCATCCCATTCCCAGATATTTATCCAATAGAAGTAACAGTATATGTCCACATAAAGCAAATACATGAACATTCAAAGAATTTTTAAGAGAAAAGAATCAGAAATAATCTAATGTCATCCACAGAGGAATGTATAAAGACAATGTACTATTACCACATAATGGAATACGATCAAGCAGTAAGAACAACTACAATATAGATGAACCTCAATAAAAACAAGTGCATGTAAGAGTATAGACAAATAACATATATAAGCTGTATCATTCAGTTTGTACAGAATTCTAGGAGATAAAAATATACAATGAAGAAAAGCAGATGAATGTTTGCCTGGGGAGGTAGAGGGAGATGCAGAGATGGGGGCAGGAATTACAAAGGGAGACAGAAAAAAATTGGGCAGAATGTGGATATATTCATTGATCTGGTCTGTTTTGATGGTTTGATGAGCTGTATACATGGCAAAGCTTATCAGACTGTACACTTTATATGCAGTTTATTATATGCCAATTTTGTCCTATTGAAATTATATAAAAAAGAAATTATCTCAGAGATAACTTCTTTGGCCTTCCTTTTCTGCTGAAGAAGCAGAAGACGTGAACAGAAGCAGAAGCAGGGACGTGATCCCTGAATATGTTTTTGCATGGCATGCCCATAAAGCAAGTCCATTGTGACTCTATTATTTGCAGCAAGAAACCTTGAGAAATAAGGTAATATCTTTCTGTAGACTGCAAGCTGGTTTGCTTACTACTCAGTACAAAAGGGGTAGTTTCTCCAAGCTCAAGGTTCTTTATAAGCAATGCAACCTCACAAGACACATACCATCCCTGTGGGTCCATATCATGTTTTTCCATAACATTTGGAGGCATGGGAAAGCAACAAACAATAAGTTAATGCTCATGATGTATGCTGTACTGTGAGTAATGAAGTTGTTTTTCCCTAACCCAGGAAACTCTTGCCTTCTGACAACATTTAGTAAACCCATGGCAGATTAGACTTTTAAAGTCAGATAAAAATCTCGAATCCTTCACAGTCCTGAACTCTCCAAAATAAATACTATTCCTTAGTTATTCTCTTGTAATAATCTGTTCTCTGCCATCTTTGCATTAACTACCATTTCTGACCATATTCATTTAAAGTATGTTGTATTTCTTCCTGGACTATAAAGTCCATGAAGACAAAGACAATGCTTGTTTTCTTCAATCTACAATTTGTTATCTAGCACAACACCTGGAATAGTAGAAATAAAGTAAACATTTCTTGAATGATAACTTTTTTTTTTTAAATTTTTTATTGTGGGTTGTTCAAAACATTACAAATTTCTTGACATATCATATTCCACACTTTGATTCAAGTGGGTTATGAACTCCCACCCCATACACAGATTGCAGAATCACATCAGTTACACATCCATTGATTTACATATTGCCATACTAGTGTCTGTTGTGCTCTGCTGCCTTTCCCATCCTCCACACTCCCCCTCCCCACCTCTCCCCTCCCCTCCCCTCCTCTCTCTCTACCCCCTCCACTGTATAACCCTGAGGGTCTCCTTCCATTACCATGCAATTTCCCTTCTCTCTCCCTTTCCCTCCCACCTCTCATCCCTGTTAAATGTTAATCTTCTTCTCCTGCTCTTCGTCCCTACTCTGATCTTAGTTACTCTCCTTATATCAAAGAAGACATTTGGCATTTGTTTTTTAGGGATTGGCTAGCTTCACTTAGAATAATCTGCTCTAATGCCACCCATTTCCCTGTAAATTCTATGATTTTGTCATTTTTTAATGCAGAGTAATACTCCATTGTGTATAAATGCCACATTTTTTTTATCCATTCGTCTATTGAAGGGCATCTAGGTTGGTTCCACAATCTTGCTATTGTGAACTGTGCTGCTATGATAACTTTTTTTTTTTTAATTGGACACTGTGTTCACTTCTCTCCCTTCCCCTATCTCCTTTCAGTACTAAGGATTAAATCCAGGGGAACTCTAGCCACAAGACCAGTCCTTTTTATTTTTTATTTTAAGTCAGGGTCTTGCTAAATTGTTGGTGGCTGGCCTCACACTTGCAATCCTCCTGTCTCAGCCTTATGAATTGCTGAAATTACAGGTATATGCCACCACGCCCAGCCATTTATCTTAATACCACACAATTTTTTTTTAAAGAGAGAGAGAGAGAGAGAGAATTTTTTAATATTTATTTTTTAGTTCTCGGCGGACACAACATCTTTGTTTGTATGTGGTGCTGAGGATCGAACCGGGGCCGCATGCATGCCAGGCGAGCGCGCTACCACTTGAGCCACATTCCCAGCCCCAATACCACACAAATTATAGACAGAAAATGATAGGTTATCTATTACCAATTTCTTGGGAATTTATTATTCAGATTCCATCCTTATAAACTACTGCAATTTTTCATTATTTACTAGTGATTAAATACAAGTACTAACAAGAAGATGAAACTCATATCAGTGTAATTACTATTAAAATTTTGTTCCTAAGTAATAGGTCTGGTGAAAAACAATCTCTGATTAAGAAAGTCTGTCCTGAGATTATATCCTTTCCTCTATCTTCTTTAATTCATTGCAATTGAGAACTCCTGTAGTTTCAAAAATTCATAGGTTCAGGCCCATCTTAAACCTTGAGCTAATTCCACAGAGACATGAAAGGATGATTGTAATCCATGTGTTCTGTTTCTCTTTCATTACCTCCTCTATTTTAGTACCTAAGTTTATTTTCTTTCTAACACTGAATGCAGTTAAGAAGTTATTAGTTTGTGTTCACTTTATCTTCCTCAATAAAATACCTGAAAATAACTTTATCAATTCATTAATATATATGTTATGCTTTCTCTCCAAACCAAATGTTGATACATTTCTATAGGTTTTTGCCCCCATTTTTTTCTTTTGTTATCAGCTAATTGCTTTGTTGCAAAGTTCTATAGAATTATTGTCTTATTCAATTTGCCATTTTGAACAGGAATAACGGTGAGAAGAGGTGGGAAGAATAGCTGTCATTTATCTGTGAAATAAAATCAGTATATAAGAGGATAGTTGATGGACCTTAAAGATATTTGTCCATGGCATGCATAATGGTTATGTAGCCTATAAAATAGCAAAGAATAAGGAATCCACAGATCTATGGCAAGAGGTTTCTTCTTGCCCTTTTCACTTTTGAAGTAGAGGTAATATGCTGTTTCTAGATATTGATGTTGCTCATTCAATTAGGTCAATGATACTCAAATGATCTTTTTTAAAGAGTAATGGGGAGTCAGAATTTTAATTAGAAAATAACATAATAAAGTGCATCCTGCTAAATAAGTATACACTTCCTTACTTTCCTATAGTTATATAAACTTTTAGTACTTCAAACTGCAAGTTTTCTTCCATATGTTCTACAGAATACTTAGGATGGTGCCTTACAAGCTCATTATCACTGTATTAAAAGACTTCAATTGCAGGGATGAAAATACTAATGGTACTCCAAATGAGAATGTGAGGTTATTCTCCTAAAAGTGTGCATGTGTTTAGGTTGTAATTAAGTTTTAAGAAATGTATCATGTAAC